AAAGGAAGGACGAGCTGCTGAGAGCTGTGCCCAAGGAACCAGCCATTAAAGGTGTTCCACTGATGCTGTTCTCCTGTTCGTTACAAGTGACACTCCAGGGCCTAATAAAGATGGCTAGCTTTTTACACAGGGCGTCACTGCTTACAAAGCAACTCTACGTTCATTATTTAATTTGATTTAATCCTTTAAGATAATTTCAAATATCTATGAGCAAGAAAATGGCCCACAGTGGTAATCTAATGGACATGCCATAAAAAGAAAATCCTAAGAATGTAGACAGGGAATTTCTGGAAGTTTCAAAGGCACAGAGAAAACCTCCAATCCTTGGGATCCAGGTGACTGAAAAACTTCCTGCCCACATTTCCTCGCAATGCATGCTTCTGTAATCTGAACTAAGCATTGTTTCCAGAATATGCTGTGTTCTTATTTATGGGGCTCTATAGATCTTTTCCTTCTGCCTGGAATGTCCTCCCTCCCTCTTTTTCCACTTAAAATGCCTACCTATTCATGCAGAAAAGAGTTAACAAATGCAGCAGACCTGGCTGCTCTCTTTTAAAAAGACCTGCTTCTGAGATTGGCCATCGGCTGTCCTCTGGGGACTTGGATTTTGGGAGGGTTCCCACCATTCTCCGAACTGGTAAGAGCGGCTCCCTGAGCCCACACTGTACAGACAATACGATCTATGCCGAACACCTGCTTCCCTTCTGGTGCATGGCAGGCAGGGGGCGCCTGTGTGGCCAGTGCCGAATAAAAACCCTAGGTGCTGGGTCTCTAACAAGCTTCCCTGGTTGGCAACATTTCACAAGTGTTGTCACACCAATGCTAGGGAATCGAGTGTGTCCTGTGTGCCTCTACTGGGCGAAGGGCCTTGGAAGCTGGTGCCTGGTTCCCCCATCTCTGCCTCATGAACCCTTCCTCTGTTGACTTTGTTCAGCAGCCTGCAGCTGGAATAGCTCAGAGCTGTGGGCGCAACCATGTGCTGGGCTACTGAATCATGGAACACGAGGGTTCTTCTGAAGACCTCAAACACACAACCCTTCAAGTCTCCGTTCAATAGGACATGGTTTATGGACTCTTTCTCACTTTCTTAGGCAGATTTTGTTGTTTCTTTGCATCGCTCTTGCAATTAAAGAGAGTTTCTTACTGCAGCATCACTGTTTGCACTGCGCTCCTTTTAAAGTATAAGCTCATCAAAGACAAAGGCCTTACTTTTTCACCTTCCCTTTTTTCAGCACCAAGGTGGCACACGCTGGTAACATATGCAACAGTCATTGCAGTAATAGCTAATAAATGCTGTTTACTATGTGCTCTGCACACCAGGCTCAGAGCTCTACACATATTATCACATTTAATCCTTTCAGCCACCCCTTAAAGTAGCTATTATCCTCATTATAAAAATGGAAAAAAACAAACAGGGGTTACAAGTAGGTGTTAAATGAGTGTATTAGTCACCCAAAGGACATCATTTTAGCCCTTAAGGAATGACTTCACTGAGCTTCCCTCAGTGTCCCCCATGCACATCTCACCTTAGCACGTGCTAAGCTACTGCTGAGGACGTTACCTGCTCTATCGAAATGTAAGTCTCTCACCTGCCCTCCTCCCTCAGCCACTCTATTTTTCTCCACATTTTCTCATATACCCTTCCAGGGAGAGGACAAACAAATACATTAACTCATTTTATACACATTATTCTGCAACTTGCTTTTCTTACCCAACAACATAGCCTGGTGGTCACCTCATATCAACACATTCAGAGCAACTGCATCCTTTGGAACATCTGACTACTGTTCCTTATTGAGGGACATTTAGGGAGCTGCAACAACCTAATTATGAAAAATGGCTCAGAGAGCATTTTGCACATTCAGAGTGGCTGTATATGATAAAGTACGAGAAGCAGAAAAAGCAGGGTCAAAGAGATGCTTATTATTTATTTATTTTTAATTTAAAAAATTGAGATACTATTCACATGCCATTAAATTTGCTTTTATAAAGGATACAGTTCAGTGGTCTTTATCTAAAAACCACTATCTAATTCCAAAACATTGTCATCACCACAAAAGAAACACCATACTCATTAGCAGCCAAGATTTAAAAAATTTTGACCGGTTTTGTCAAATTGCTTCATCAAAATTAAAATAAACGTCTTTTTGACTCACTTCTATCTCACCACAATATATGGTATTTGTCTCACCATAATATATGGAATCGTACAGGGTTCTAGTTGCCTCTCCCTCCTCCTCCCCATCTGTAACAGCATCTTATTAGTTTCACCTGAGAAGGCAAGTTCAAGTGCAGGAAAGAAAATGCCCCCCCACCCATAATTTTGCTGCATCCTACAAAGAAACTGGACCCTGGCATGCTTCCCACACTGACAAATGCACCAAAAACCCGGCTGACCTTTATATTCTTTTAGGGGATGCGTGCAATCTGTATAGTGAACACTGCTGCTATCCTAATTTTGACAAAGGCGAAGAAGTTCTAGTGTCCTCAGTGTTCTGCAACCAGAAAGTGAAAGAAGGAATAGTCCTTTGTGTTTATCCTTAAACCCAGGCACAGACACCATGCCAGGTTGTTCTGTCCTTGGACGTCAGTCATTGGCGCCAACAGTGCCAGCAACAGGATGCCAAATGAGGCTTGCTTTGAATTACACCGTCTCCTCCCACCACCTGCCAGCCCCTGCTTATCGGGAAGGAGCTCACGCCCTAGGAAACTGAGTTTGCTGAGTGGCTTCCAGCCCCACGCTGAGAACACAGCCAGCTAAGCACCACTAGGTGTAGGCTTTCTTCTCCTTTCTTCCTTTTCCTCATATGTTTTTATGAACATCCAAAGAGAAGATAATTAAAACCTGCAAGAAAACCAGCTGGCAGAGAAAAAGGAAATCTTGGTGAGTTGGGGACGACGCCACATGTTTATGGGTGAGTTTTGTAAGTAACACAGCAATAAAAAAACAGCTTCTTATAAATAAATGCCACATTCTTCAAAGCTCCATATAAACGACATTCTTTTTAGGGAGGGAGGGGAAGCTACTCATGTTCCTTCCTCATCATTTTATTTCCAACAAGGGGAAAGGAATCCCACTAATTGTATAATTTCCTAGGAGCACGGTGGTTATGGAGCCAAAGCTTTGCAGTGCTTGCGCACACACCACACACACACACACACACACACACACACACACACACACACACACACGAAAGAAAAATGAGGAAAAGAGGAAAAGGCACATAGGAGGCCTTATTTAGCACAGCAGAGTAGAACAAAGGAGCAGAAGGGCAGGCATCTCATCACTTATGATTGGGTTTTCTGGCTACTAGGCACATACACTTTAACTCAAAATACAGAAGTTCTCCCTTCCTCTCCCGAGTGCTGAGTGCCGTCTGAACAGCATCAAGATTTGGAAGGGCCTGTGCAATCCCCTTTCATTTTTCATCTGTTTTGCTAATGGTAACGTGAAACAGAGCTGCTCTCGCCTCTCTGCATGTGACACAAGGCTGGAGGCACACACATTCCAGAGTGGCCTTCCCCAGGAGCCAGCTGTGTGCAGGTAACTGAAGCCTGCCCTTGGCCCTGCTGTTAATAAGAGTAATTGGCACGCCACTGAGGGCTGCTGGAGCGCTGTGATTTGCTCTGTACCGGGGTCTCCCCAGACCACATGCGCATGCAGCGGTGATAGAAATATTTTCCATATGAGCTCTCTCACATGCCGAAGTGCTCCAGGCTGAGTTAGGCCAGCCCATTCGTCATTTACTCTGCACAGTGAAAAATCAACAGGGAAGTTGCGAACTTCAACTACAACTAGAGGGCAATGGTTTGCTTTCAGCTTCCAGCCTCACTAACCCATTCAGTTCCTCCAGTACCTATTCAAGACCTCGATCCCTCCCCAGACCCAGAAAATATCTGCAGAGCAGAGGACATGGGTAACTAATAGGCTAAAAGCCTAAAACAAGTGACCCGTTTCTGCACGTCTTGAGCCACAAGCCTATTTGAACAGAGCAACAAGCCTGCTGAAACCATAGCCAGCACTGTAGCCTGGGTTTGGGAGCACTCTCCTTCCCCTCTTTTTAGAATAGGGGAAGTAATTACATTAGGCTTGCAGAGCCGGCTCCATCCTGACAATGCCAACAAAAGACGATGCTGTGAAATGGCCCCATGGCCTTTTTAGGAGACACACTTTCACTTGGCTTTTCAAAGAGGATGATGGATTCAGGGAAAAGGCTGTCCTTTCATTACTCAGGCATCTGTGACTTTTCATCAGCATAAGGACTACAAGGAGTGGACAAGGTAAATTTGTTGCAGGCGAGGGTGGATACACCTAAGTGCTTCCCTCTCCAGCCCATATGATCATCCCTTCCAATCTCTACCTGCATCAAAAACTGGTGCCTACAGGCATCTGTGATGTTCAGAACTGTATGCAGCAAACATTTAAGCTAAACCAGTACGAACAAATCATCCTCACGGGCCTTCAACATCCCTGGTAGATCTGGACACACTCCTAGCCCTGATATGTATCACTATCCTTCTTCAAACCTGTGATAGAAAGTTAAGCACAGATTTTTCCAAGCACATCAAAGCAAAAAAGGAGAAAAAGTGATGCAAAAGCAGTAAAGAAAAGCAATTCCTCTAGCATGCATATTCTCTCTGCAACACTAGAGAAAAGTTCTCAAACATAACAGTGCCTATCGGAATCTGACATGCATGTTTTCTTCTATCTGCAGTGGCAGGAGAAACGTGCACCTCTAGGCATCTGTCACCAAGGCCATGCCAACTCCCCAGGGTGGCAACTGTACCGTCTCAGAATGAGATTTTAGAAATTATGGGGCTCTTTAAGAAGAAAAGAAGTCTGCCTAAAAGAAATGGCCAGGAAAGCCTAAAAAAGCAGTATAAAGCATTACTCTTTGCACACCATAAAAGCCCGTTCCCTGATTCCTGTTGATAGATAGAAAAGGAAATATAATGCTGACAAAAATACAACTTCTGACAAGATATTTTATTTGGCTTACCTCTCCCCCAGGTCTTGCTAACACTGCTGTTTGAACGTGGAGAAATGTTAATATCAGGTAGCTGACAAACATTATTACCCAAAGTTAGAACTACCCTAGAGGAGAGCTCCGTCTGCCAAGTGCTAACAGCTAGCAGATGCACTTGTGTCCCAGGATTCCAGCCCTGGAGTTCCGCTAGGCACCGCGCTGTTCTCTGCTCTCCCTCACTGTACTACCCGGAGCTCCGAGCGCAGCCTCTGCTCGGCACAAAACTGGTAAGCTGATCTCTTCATGTAATAACTTCTCCCGGCTGGGGGAGGGGACAGGAGCCAGCTGGGAGCTGGGGGGCTGCCTTTAACAGAAAGCAGAAAGGGGAGGGACCAAAATGATCAATGTGGAGTTCTGCATCTGGTCTCATTCATGAAAAGGCTACAAGGTAAGCCCTCCACATGCAGGGGGACAACGACCCCTGCTTCACCAACTGAGGCAGGCAGGAGGCAGTGAGCTGCAAGAGAACGAGCTCCAGGCTGGGAGCTGGAGACCCAGCGCCTTCCCAGGCCGGCATCTGCTGCGACAAGCTGTGTGTGCCTGGATAAGCTGCCCACACTCTCTGGGTATCAGCTGCTTTTCTGACTGATATAATCAAGGGTTGGGTGGATGACTTCTGAGTTCCCTTTTAATTCTGATTCGATGGCTACAGAAATCTAGGCAGTCAAAGGCTGCATTATTAAGGGTGGCCTCAAAGAAAAAAAATGTTACAAGAATGTTGTGGGTTTATGCACTGATCATAAGGACATGAACGGATGGGAACTGGGGAAGCCACTATATCCCACTCTTGTGCCTCCCTGGGTCACCTGGCCAGAGCGAGCAGAATTAGGGCAGACAATGTGAAACTAGACGGTAAGGTGGGAACAGGGGTGCCAGGTGTTAGACAGTACTGGCAGAGCACATGGAAAAGCAGGGCCGTTTTAAGGAAAATTCTCTGGGTAAAGTCAGGCGAAACAGGGTGGGACTTGGGCCCACAGGCAGCACGGGAGCAGGCTGGGGAGCAGGCGTTGCTAAAGCAGCCGGTGCGCCTGAGACACACCTTAGCGGCCGGCTCTTGCTGTGAGCCAGCGGGGCCCATCATGTGAAAAAGGTTGAGAAGCCACAGGATATTAGGTTCTACTTAAAATGGGCACAAGGAACCATTCTGAGGCTGCTGGTGGCCACGGAGGACAGGATGGCTGCATGGTGCGGTGGAAACAGCCTGGACCCTGGCACCTGGCAGACCCATTCAAAGCCCAGCTCTGCTACCGAGTCCCTGTGAGTCTGTGGGTGACTAACCCAGTGAGCCCCAGCTGCCCATCTGTGAAGTATGGAAACGCCAACTGATGGTTATGATGATTATCAATTAGGTCAGCTAGGCACAAAACTTGGCACTGTTCCTGACACAGTAAGTGTGAAAAATGCCGGTTTTCTCTTTGATCTGAATAACTACTGGCACCCAGTCCCAGAGAGTAAATTAATAAACACTTGAAAAGCTTTAGGTTGTGGGCATTTTCCTACATTAACGAGGAAACTAAACCAAACTGTAGTTTGTTGCCATCTCAGGACGATTTATTGTCACCAGTCACATGACAATTAGTAGCGGGAGTGATTTGGGTAAGCTGTGTGGAGGGACTTACAACCCCTTTCTCCAGAAGGTGCAGTAAAGATATCTCCAGTTAGAGGAAAGGAAGGAAGACATTTCCTCTCCTCCCCTCCTTCTCCTCTGCCTCCACATTCATCATCGTGATTATTGTTTGACTGGGTCTGTTCTACGCTGTGACCAAAGGGGCACTGTCTTCTACTAAGTAACTTCACCACGAACGCAGGAATGATCTAAGAAAGTCAAAGTTCCTGCAAGTCCAGCAGGGGTGTTGTCTAGTCCAGGGGCTGAGGAGCGTCCTGTAAAGGGCCCGATAGTAAATACCTTGTTTGCAGACTATATGGTTTCTGTGGCAACTACTCAGTGCTGCTGCTGCAGCACAGAAGCAGCCCCAGGCAAACACAGGAAGGGCCAGGCTGTGTTCCAATAAAATCTTATTTACAGAAACAGGCAGCGGGCCAGACTTGGCCACAGTGTGCCAGTTTCTGGTCTAGACACTTGTCAAGCACCCTTCCATCCACTGCAAGCTGACTTTTGACCTCTGCTCCACTATAAGGACTCTGGAAATGTCACCAGTGGCTTCTGTGTCACAAAATACATACAAAGGATAAATTTTCAGGGCTTATCTTATTTGATTGAGTTCCTTGCAGCATTAACCAGTAATTTTTTCATATTGTGGTGAAATATACACAACATAAAATTTACCATTTTAACTATTTTTAAGTGTGCAATTCAGTGGCATTAAGTACATTCACAGTGTTGTGTAACCGCCTCCACCATCCAGTTCCAGAGCCTTTCCATCCTCCCAACAGAAACTCTGCATCCATTAAATAATAACTTCCCATTCCTTCTCCCCACAACTCCTGGTAACGTCTATTCAACCTTCCGTCTCTATGAATTTTCCTATTCCTGATTTCTCATATAAATGGAATCACAGAATATTTGTCCTTTTATGCTGGGCTTACTACACTTAGCATCATGTTTCCAAGGTTCACCCAGGTGGGAGCACGCAGCAGAACGGCGTGCCCTTGGAGGGCTGAGTAACGTCCTGCTGTATGGATGTACCGCGTTATGTTTACGCAGTCACCTGCTGATGGACGCTTGGACTGTTCCCATCTTTTGGCTACTGAGAATAATGTTGCTATGAACTTGAGTGTACAAGTATCTGTTTGAAACCCTGCCTTCAGTTCTTTTGGGTATATACTGAGGAGTAGATTTGCTAAATCATATAATAATTCTGCATTTTAACTTTTTGAGGAACCACCGAACTGTTTTCCATAGTGGCAGACCCATGTTACAGCTCACCAGCAATGCATAAAGGTTCCAATTTCTCCACATCCTTGCCAGCACTTATTTTCCACTTTTTGATAATAGTTATCTGAAGGGAAGCCCTGGCTGGTGTTGCTAAGTGATTAGAGAGTCAGTCCATGCACCAAAGGGTCATGGGTTCAATTCCCAATCAAGGGCACGTACCTGGGTTGCAGGTTTGATCCCCCACCCTGGTCCAGGTATATTGGGGAGGCAATCCATCGATGTGTCTCTCTCACATCAATATTTCTTTCTCTTTCTGTCTCTCGGTCTCTCTCTCCCCCTCTCCCCCCCTCCCTCCCTCCCTTCCACTCTCTC